CGATTGCTCTCAGCGGTACGCCAATATAGAGGGATGGAACTATCCTAAAACTTGGGTTTGATCCAAGTCGGGGTTCTAGTCTTTGGGCAGGAGACATGCGCGTTTACCCGAAAATCGAGCTTGGAGAGGATAATTTCGCTATTGTAACCATTCGGCTCCTCTTTAATGACGTGACACGCGAGTAATTAGGCGATAGAAACGATTGCTCTCAGCGGTACGCCAATATAGAGGGATGGAACTATCCTAAAACTTGGGTTTGATCCAAGTCGGGGTTCTAGTCTTTGGGCAGGAGAAATGCGCGTTTACCCGAAAATCGAGCTTGGAGAGGATAATTTCGCTATTGTAACCATTCGGCTCCTCTTTAATGACGTGACACGCGAGTAATTAGGCGATAGAAACGATTGCTCTCAGCGGTACGCCAATATAGAGGGATGGAACTATCCTAAAACTTGGGTTTGATCCAAGTCGGGGTTCTAGTCTTTGGGCAGGAGACATGCGCGTTTACCCGAAAATCGAGCTTGAAGAGGATAATTTCGCTATTGTAACCATCCGGCTCCTCTTTAATGACGTGACACGCGAGTAATTAGGCGATAGAGACGATTGCTCTCAGCGGTACGCCAATATAGAGGGATGGAACTATCCTAAAACTTGGGTTTGATCCAAGTCGGGGTTCTAGTCTTTGGGCAGGAGACATGCGCGTTTACCCGAAAATCGAGCTTGAAGAGGATAATTTCGCTATTGTAACCATCCGGCTCCTCTTTAATGACGTGACACGCGAGTAATTAGGCGGTAGAGACGATTGCTCTCAGCGGTACGCCAATATAGAGGGATGGAACTATCCTAAAACTTGGGTTTGATCCAAGTCGGGGTTCTAGTCTTTGGGCAGGAGACATGCGCGTTTACCCGAAAATCGAGCTTGAAGAGGATAATTTCGCTATTGTAACCATCCGGCTCCTCTTTAATGACGTGACACGCGAGTAATTAGGCGATAGAGACGATTGCTCTCAGCGGTACGCCAATATAGAGGGATGGAACTATCCTAAAACTTGGGTTTGATCCAAGTCGGGGTTCTAGTCTTTGGGCAGGAGACATGCGCGTTTACCCGAAAATCGAGCTTGAAGAGGATAATTTCGCTATTGTAACCATCCGGCTCCTCTTTAATGACGTGACACGCGAGTAATTAGGCGATAGAGACGATTGCTCTCAGCGGTACGCCAATATAGAGGGATGGAACTATCCTAAAACTTGGGTTTGATCCAAGTCGGGGTTCTAGTCTTTGGGCAGGAGACATGCGCGTTTACCCGAAAATCGAGCTTGGAGAGGATAATTTCGCTATTGTAACCATTCGGCTCCTCTTTAATGACGTGACACGCGAGTAATTAGGCGATAGAAACGATTGCTCTCAGCGGTACGCCAATATAGAGGGATGGAACTATCCTAAAACTTGGGTTTGATCCAAGTCGGGGTTCTAGTCTTTGGGCAGGAGAAATGCGCGTTTACCCGAAAATCGAGCTTGGAGAGGATAATTTCGCTATTGTAACCATTCGGCTCCTCTTTAATGACGTGACACGCGAGTAATTAGGCGATAGAAACGATTGCTCTCAGCGGTACGCCAATATAGAGGGATGGAACTATCCTAAAACTTGGGTTTGATCCAAGTCGGGGTTCTAGTCTTTGGGCAGGAGACATGCGCGTTTACCCGAAAATCGAGCTTGAAGAGGATAATTTCGCTATTGTAACCATCCGGCTCCTCTTTAATGACGTGACACGCGAGTAATTAGGCGATAGAGACGATTGCTCTCAGCGGTACGCCAATATAGAGGGATGGAACTATCCTAAAACTTGGGTTTGATCCAAGTCGGGGTTCTAGTCTTTGGGCAGGAGACATGCGCGTTTACCCGAAAATCGAGCTTGGAGAGGATAATTTCGCTATTGTAACCATTCGGCTCCTCTTTAATGACGTGACACGCGAGTAATTAGGCGATAGAAACGATTGCTCTCAGCGGTACGCCAATATAGAGGGATGGAACTATCCTAAAACTTGGGTTTGATCCAAGTCGGGGTTCTAGTCTTTGGGCAGGAGACATGCGCGTTTACCCGAAAATCGAGCTTGAAGAGGATAATTTCGCTATTGTAACCATCCGGCTCCTCTTTAATGACGTGACACGCGAGTAATTAGGCGATAGAGACGATTGCTCTCAGCGGTACGCCAATATAGAGGGATGGAACTATCCTAAAACTTGGGTTTGATCCAAGTCGGGGTTCTAGTCTTTGGGCAGGAGACATGCGCGTTTACCCGAAAATCGAGCTTGGAGAGGATAATTTCGCTATTGTAACCATTCGGCTCCTCTTTAATGACGTGACACGCGAGTAATTAGGCGATAGAAACGATTGCTCTCAGCGGTACGCCAATATAGAGGGATGGAACTATCCTAAAACTTGGGTTTGATCCAAGTCGGGGTTCTAGTCTTTGGGCAGGAGAAATGCGCGTTTACCCGAAAATCGAGCTTGGAGAGGATAATTTCGCTATTGTAACCATTCGGCTCCTCTTTAATGACGTGACACGCGAGTAATTAGGCGATAGAAACGATTGCTCTCAGCGGTACGCCAATATAGAGGGATGGAACTATCCTAAAACTTGGGTTTGATCCAAGTCGGGGTTCTAGTCTTTGGGCAGGAGAAATGCGCGTTTACCCGAAAATCGAGCTTGAAGAGGATAATTTCGCTATTGTAACCATCCGGCTCCTCTTTAATGACGTGACACGCGAGTAATTAGGCGGTAGAGACGATTGCTCTCAGCGGTACGCCAATATAGAGGGATGGAACTATCCTAAAACTTGGGTTTGATCCAAGTCGGGGTTCTAGTCTTTGGGCAGGAGACATGCGCGTTTACCCGAAAATCGAGCTTGGAGAGGATAATTTCGCTATTGTAACCATCCGGCTCCTCTTTAATGACGTGACACGCGAGTAATTAGGCGGTAGAGACGATTGCTCTCAGCGGTACGCCAATATAAAGGGATGGAACTATCCTAAGACTTGGGTTTGATCCAAGTCGGGGTTCTAGTCTTTGGGCAGGAGAAATGCGCGTTTACCCGAAAATCGAGCTTGAAGAGGATAATTTCGCTATTGTAACCATCCGGCTCCTCTTTAATGACGTGACACGCGAGTAATTAGGCGGTAGAGACGATTGCTCTCAGCGGTACGCCAATATAAAGGGATGGAACTATCCTAAAACTTGGGTTTGATCCAAGTCGGGGTTCTAGTCTTCGGGCAGGAGACATGCGCGTTTACCCGAAAATCGAGCTTGAAGAGGATAATTTCGCTATTGTAACCATCCGGCTCCTCTTTAATGACGTGACAC